ACAATTATTGCAGTGGTAGCCACCCAATAGAGCTGGAGCTAACAAATGTAAACTGTACACATAGGCTATGTTACATGCATGTGCATTATTCACATGTACATGTGTACATTAAATTTGCATTAAATTGACATTTACATGTACATAGCTCTGCTACTTTAAGTACATACATGTATGTACATGTAGGTTGAAAACATGGACTGATGACTATAGATAGCACCAAAGTTTGCACTATCATTAAAACACTTACAAATGCTTAAGTGCTATGTACATGTATGTACATGCATGATGTATGTTAATTATATTGCTATGTAGACGCATGATATAAGTATATACATGTAAACCTTCTGATACGATTAAGAAGATCTTAACCGCTTGTGGTCACTACATGTGGTTATTGACAGATTTAAGTCAATCACTCACTAGTATTATGTCTTGACAGTGTTGTTTGTTCCGACAAATTGTGTGACTCAACAATAGAGCGTGTTAAACTCATGGTATATTCTTCTGAAGGAGCATAATGATCAGTGCATCCACTGATACTACAATGCACATCAGCTCCACCTAATTCCTCAGAGTTGATGGACTCCCCAGTAGCAACCTGTACACAACAATCAATTTGATGTTAGTAAACAAAATAATTTCATTAATTACAAAAAAGAAAAGGACTAACACAATAACTTTGTCTCAGTCACACCTAATGATTCACATCCATATATACAGCCCACTAGTACACACAGATGCATGTGTTGTGTTCCTTCCGTTTGTGCATACCTTAACTAAAGGTGGTCCCCCTAAATATAATAATCCAGAACCTTTCACAATAACAGCTTCATCACACATTGTAGGTATATAAGCCCCACCAGCTGTACATGGCCCACACACAACAGCAATCTATAATCATATAAATATGTTTGATGATGTGAATAGAATAGAGTACATTACTTGAGGTATACCCATTGATGAGAGAACAGCTTCATTTCTAAAGGATCTCCCACCATGCTCTTTGTCAGCATAAATATCAGCCTAAGCAAATTAAAGATTATATGTACAATGTACATGCATGTGTATGTGTACATGAACAAGCATAATGTACATGTACGTTTAGAAACCAATGGTAAATACATGTACATGTACATGTATTTATACCCAAGGTATTTTTTGGTATTGAGAAATGTTGCCACAAAATGAATTTTGGGATGGATTCACAAATTATTACCTTTTTAACTTTTTATTATCAAATTATTATCTTTAATTATACAAATATAATAATAATTATATACAAATATAATATAATAATAAAATATAATAATTTAAATATAATAATATAATAATTATACAAATTATTATCTTTTTGTCTTTGTACTCAAACACATACACACAATTAGTTTTATGTATCATCAGATCCTAAAGATTATCAACAGAATATGAAAATAGTTTGATGTACAGATATGTTGATTTTCACGTCAACTCAATACTACTGAACATTACAATACCTCCAGCTACTCCCACTACAACTATCATACCTGAAGGAGGAATAATAATGAAAATTATATCAATTAATGAAAATTATATCAATTAATGAAGAAAATGAAGGAAAAAGAAGTAATAACTTGCATAATAAAGATGGTCACTAGTATTCAAATCAGAGATACAAGTACAAGTTGACAAGAGAATAACCTTTAATCAATTGAAGAAAGAGCTAGCTCCATTGATTGGTGTACCATCTACTGGTTTTATAGTTTATGAAGTCAGGGCGGATTATAGTATATTTAGAAAATATTATGAAGTGCAGAGACTGGATGATACATTAAAAGATTATAAATCTGGAAAAAAAGGTAGTTTTTGTGTTTTAAATTTACTATAATTTAATACTATAATAATGTCTTTTTATATCTTCTAGTTGACAGTGACACTGGGTAGAGCTTTGAGAAGAGGAGAGTACAGAGTTAAATTATTTCTATTACAAGTTAATAATATAGAAGAATTATTGTGTGTAAGATTATAATAATCTTCATTTTTTTAGTTTTTTAATTTTATCACTGAGTCAGTTGTTACTGAAAATTTATCAGTGAGAGAATTTAAAAAACAATTAAATTATTGAAGAAGCAAAAGTACAAGGAATTGACTGTGTCCCTGAATTAGAAAAGTAAAAGTACATCATGCGACTGTCATGTGACTCATTGTGTATAGAATGAGATTACGTTCCAAAATGGAGTGTCCCCTGGTAGAGTGTATCTTGATCATCTCTTGATTGATTTTAGTAGGGAAATGTATGTGGAACCATTGAAAGGTCAGTGTATTGATGTTTTTTTAGCAAGTTTAATAATTTCTATACATTTATTAGAAATAGAGAAAAAAAAGTTTGAAACACAGAGACAGTTGTATGTTATAAGATGGCATCCCTCACAATGTTTAGTTGATCCAACAGAAGAAATTATACTGGATAAAGGTTACAGTCGTAAACATTTCTTTGAAAAGGTGAATTAGGTAATAACAAGAGTGGATAAATAATTATCCACTCTTGGTAAATCATTAATTTTGTTATTGTTTTTACAGCTGTCTAAGTTTAGTGGAATTCCTAAGAAGTATTTACATTATACAGAGGTTAACCATTGATTTATTAAAATATATTTAAGATACTCCCTTTCTCTTTCAGAATGAATCCTTTCCAGTTGAGTTTGATATTGAATATATGTTGGAATGGAATGCCATTAAATCCTCTATATATCCAGTAGTTCGTCGTGATGGAAATGTCCTATATTACAAGTAATAATGAACAGATGCTCATATTATGTATCTGTGTGCATGCACTTTCATGTTTTTGAACTATTTAGAGATAGTAGAGAAAAAATGAAAAAGTTAACAGCAAAAGAAAGATCAGAAATACAAGAGGTAGAGGAAGCAAGGTCAGTGAACCTCATGTTTCATTATGTACATGTACAATCATTAAAATTCTTTATGTACAGGGATACAAGTGGTTTATTTTTATATTGTAGGTTAAAGAGAATTACAAAGCACAAATTAGAGCTGCATGAGCAGTTCCAATTGAAGAGTTCAATGTTTTAGTGCAATGTTTCACTACCATGTGATATTATTTTTAAAATCATTTTACACTTATATAGTCTATACTATACTTCAACCCTGTGTACTATCTATCTGTACAAGTTAGTCCTACTGGCTTCAAACAATAAAAAGTATCATTATTTAAAGTAAAACATTCTTAAGATTCAGATTCTTGATACTTACAGCATCTACATTTATGATTATTTTATCAACAATTTATCTACAAGAATTTATGAAAAGTTGAATGCGCATTTGTAGTGATACAAAAAAACAAGCGTGGTGAGTCCAAAAATAATTACCAAACACACCTTAAAACTATGCTAATTAAAATTTTCTGAGTATAGACTATAATAAATCCCTAACATTTTTCAAAAACTTCATAAAATCAGACCTGCCCATTCCTTTTTTTTGATGGATTGACAACAAAGCTCTTTCTCAGCTTGACTATTTCCGATCATTGTAAGAGAGGAAACCTATGCTCGGCCGTGTTTGAATTCTTAGCATTCAAAAAACCCTTAAAATTTGTTTACCAAAGTCCCGGTATTATTTTGCATAAATACATACACTGATACACAATTATAAACTTATGTACTATTTCATAAGAGTATATTTTACAGCAATGAGATACTTTGATATGCATACAATGCTTACTGGCAAACTGCATATTTGAATTAAACTATTAAAAATTTTGGTGCAACAGCATTTAGTAGGTATCAAAAACAAGGAAAAACCCTTATCTAAAAATTAGTATTGTAATCATAAGCAGTAACTAGTATTGTAAAGTTATGCTAAGTTAAACCAATAGCTGCCAACTGAGAACAGTATTAATCATGTAAGTCTTTTCTTCACTTCATCAACCAAATCTTTGAGCAAGACAAAACTCTAATAATCATTAATACAAGCACTGCTTAACAATTAAATACCAGTACCTCAGCTTCACGACGAGCATTGACTTCACGAATTTTAACTCCACCTTTCTCTTTCTCATCTGCTCCAACAATAACTATGAGAGGTATACCATGCTGCTCACAAAATTGAATTTGATTTAGGAACTTGGGATCTTTTTTGTACGACATTTCAGCCTATAACAATGAAAGACGATTATACACACAATAGCATTGTTATAATAGTTTGTACAGGTATTCCAGCATCCCACAGCATATTTGATACTTTCATTCGTTCTTTAACCAATTCTTTTTGAGCAGAAGCAACCATAACTACAGTTGGACTAGTACGAATGTCACCCAATGCTCCTTCCTATAAATTAAATTAATCATCAAAAAATTAATTTATTCTCATAGCATACCTTAGCACGTGCTTCCATTATTGAGAAAATACGCTCTATTCCAACACTGAACCCCACACAGGGAACTTTACCACTTTTAGGATCAAACATGTTGACTAGTTCATCATATCTTCCTCCACCAGACACTGATCCAACAGACACTGTGGATCCAGGAGAAGATGAATCTCCTTTTAATTTTTATAAATTAAGTTCACAATCCTGTGAAACTGTGAATACCTTTCAAAATGGCCTCAAAAATAACACCTGTATAATAGTCCAATCCACGTGCTAGGCTAAGGTCAAATGATAGCTATAATGATAATAATGAGAAGTAATATGCACTTTAATTATACATGTACCTGCCCAGTGATCCCCATTATTTCACAGTATTGAAATAGTAACTGCATTTCATTGAGGCCGTTCTCTGCATCTTTAATCTTCATTAAGGAAGCATCCATTTGTAGTTTCTCTATAAGATCACTTCCTCCACTCAATTGGACATATCCTCCAATGGCATCAGCAACTTCACCAGTCAAACCCTTTTCTATCATTTCCTCCCTCACTGTTTCCCATGGAGTCTAATTGTGATTGCATAACAACACCATTCTCTCATACACATATTCAATATACCTTATCAAGTTTATCAACAGCAGAACATATAGCTCTGAACTTATCAGTTGGTACACCACAAGCAGCAAATAGACCATCGAGAATTTTACGATGATTAACCTAATATTAAAGAAAATAATTAGTTGCATTAAAGGAAATTTGAGAACAAAGTGCATATGCATGCACTTTGCATGACACAACATTATGGGGCACTATAGTAGTCGAATTATTAATTATGGGGAAATGCATTATAGCAACAAACAATTGTGGGAGTCACATATGTGACTTTTGACTAAGTTTACCTTTATAACAAAGTTACCCAACTTGAGATCAGTCAAAATCTCATGAAGAAGTTTGAGACATTCAGAATCAGGGATCATCAGGTCATAATCACCAGCAATATCAAAGTCCTGAATAATACTATTACAAGAATCATTATAAGGTCATCTTACACATTGATAAAATTCTCGAAATCTTCCTTTAGTCATAGCAGGATTGTCTCTACGATAAACTTGAGCAATGTGAAACCTTTTCATTTGCTTTATTTTATTCATAGCCAAATAACGAGCAAAAGGTACCTGTAAATGAATTAGAATAAAATGTGCCATACCGTATAGCTGGAAATATTTGCTGGAATTTAATTTTGCTGTTTGCTGTTCATCATAAAAATGCACAATTTAATTCCGCAAGCATTATAAGTAATGGGTGTATCAACAGTACACGCCTACACCAGCAAAATTAAATTCCACAAACATTAAAATTAGCTGTATGGGTACAAAATTGCAAAATATAATTCCCGCAAACTTTTCCAGCTATACGGTAGTATAATACAACTCGTGCTCTTTGCTCTAATCTAGCTATTGCTAATTGCTGACAAACAATAAATACCATTGCCCAATTAAGAGTTAATACAACGGTACCGTAAGGTCATAGCGGAGAGAAAGAAGCTCTCCTCCTTGATCCGCCAAGTCATAAATAAGTTTCGAGTCCTCTCCATACTTTCCCGTTAGTGTTTCCTTCAGTTCAAAGACTGGAGTAGATATTGTCACAGCTCCGTGCCGCTTGAAACAAGTGGTTATGATGCCGAACACTCTCTGCCTGATCGCCATTTGGAAAGGGTCGTAATCCCTTGTTCCCTACAAAAGGAGAGACTTTATGTGCATCACATATCTGTTACTCACTTTTGGGCACTTCAAAACAAATGGAGTTGACTCGATGACGCTCCCCTATTAAAAGAGATATCCGTCCTCATTTTTAACGGCATTAGAGCTACTAACCTCAGCAGCTCCTGGCTGTTCCGCGGCCATTTCACCTTCAGGCAGTTCTTCTCACACAGATAACTTCTGTAAAGTATGCTCAGAGTAATAGTGATTAGTGACCGTTGTGCCAGCTCTTTATATTGTACAGCTACTAATTTATACTGTACTCACCGGTAATCTACTGTATTAATTATCACGTGAGCTCTGCATTTATATATAACTGCTACCTCGCAGCTTGCTGCAGCAAATCACAGAGCAAGCTTGTAGCAGTCCAACTTCCACAGTAGCTGTTGAGATGGCAAATAATAAAGACTTGACCTATTTGCGTGTCTTTGTGAGAGTTGTAGCTGGTGGAAGTACCTCCATAGAGCCGGCAACATCAGTTGAACTAATTGAGAAGGACTGTGATGTCAAATCTCTGAAAATCAAAGTGTTGGGTGCAGAATATAATCCAGATAACTATGTTTTTGCTTTCAATATGAATGGAGTCATAATTCCTGATGATAGCAGTTGCAAAATTCTAAAAGATGATGATTATCTTTTAATTTGTAAGAAAACGATAATCCCACATTGAAAATATTGTCATAGCCTTGCATTCAATTTTCCTTTACATATAGGCCAAGCAGAGCAGTTGACACAACTCTGTGATACGTCTCCAGAACATATTGACACTTCTTATTTTGACATATGGTAAAATAATTATATTGCAAATTGAACTAAAATATAACCTTTACAGCCAATTGAATGCTAAAGATCCAGAACGACAGATCATTGAATTGGATGGGGAAAGCCTGACTTGTGAAGATCTTCTCTTAGTAGGATTGAAGAAGGCAAAACTTAAAGTTAGTTAATTATAATTACATTTTTTATATTTCTAAACGCTGTGTGGACATGTATATAGCTTTCGTCAAAGACTATTGATAACATCAAGCGATCTAGACATGTAGTAGATGATGCTGTGAAGAATAATAAAGGTAAAGAATAAGTGCTAGAATGGAATATTTATATAATTATAATATTCTAGTTGTCTATGGGGTGTCGACTGGATTCGGGTGCTTCAAGAACAAAGTTATAAAGCAAGATGATATATGGTATGTGTCATCAAAATATATTTTATGCATAATTTAATTAATTTTAGTGAGCTCCAAGAAAATCTTATCACATCACATGCCACTGGAGTTGGACCACCTTTAAATAGAATGAGGACAAGGATGCTATTTGCATTGCGTATTAATGTCATTGTTAAAGGTTACAGGTACTGTTCATAATAAATTATTATACTTTTTAATAGTACAATTATTGTTTAGTGGTGTTCGCTTGGATATAATTGAGTCAATGATTGAAACACTTAATGGTATAGTGTATACACAATGCATTGATTTCTAATCTTCACATTTATATAGCTGATTGTTTGCCTTATGTTGCTGAGAAGGGCTCTGTTGGTGCAAGTGGTGATCTTGCTCCACTTAGTCACCTCATACTTGGTTTAATGGGTGAAGGGCAAATGTGGAGTCCTAAGACAGGCTGGGGACCTGCTGCTCAGGTGACAATTAATGCATTATATTAATATTATTAATTATAATAGGTTCTCAAAGCAAACAAGAGGGAACCCATTACATTGAAAGCAAAAGAAGTAATAGTTATTCATTTTGTACATAATCACTTTGTCAATAGGGGCTTGCACTTAACAATGGGACACAGATGATCACTGCTCTTGGAACTGAAGCTGTCTGTCGTGCTGAAATGATTGCTAAACAGTCTGAAATTATAGCTGCTATGACGATTGAAGTCTTGAAAGGTGTACCAGAGCAATTTGCTAAAGGTAACATTATTTTGCTCACTAAATTTTATGCCAAAAAACATGTTGTCTATTGCATATTAAGTGAGGTCAGTATTGTTTTGGTCTTATAAAGGCAATAATGCTCAATTAAGTGAAGGAGTAGAATTATAATAATTTACTAGAGCATGTTAATTTCATTTTACAGTTATTATAATGTTTCCTTAACAGATGTTCATGAGAGTCGCCCTCACCCTGGACAGCTCTTGTCAGCAGAAAGGTTAAGTAAGCTACTCCACAATAAAGATGGCTCAGTATCAACATTGATAGGTATACAATGCAGTGACACTGTTTTATAATTTTATCTTTCTTAAGGATCTCGTCAAAAGAATGAAGAGGAAAATCCAGATAAAGCAAAGAAGGTTCAAGATCCTTACTCCCTTAGATGCATACCACAAGTACATGGTGTTGTACATCAAACAATTGCTTTTGTCAAAAACATCATTTCTACTGAGCTAAACAGTGCAACAGATAATCCAGTGAGGCAGTCCGTTTCAAATAAAATTCACCTTTAAATTTCTGTTGTTGTTTATGCAGTTGATAATGATCAATCGTGATGTTCCAGGTACAGCATCAGCAGGACACTTTCATGGTGAATACCCAGGAATGGTGTGTAATAGTAGCTCATTTATGCATACATGTAACATTATTTGTAACAATAGGCAATGGATCATTTGGCTATAGCTGTACATGAGCTTGCAAGTATTAGTGAGAGAAGGATTGAGAGGCTTGTGCATCCAGGTAACGTGTACACAATGATAATTAAATTTTGATTAGTACATTAGATTACATAGCTGAATTGGGTCTTCCTGGCTTTCTTGTTGGTGGTAAAGAAGGATTAAACAATGGTAGGCAATTTGCTAACCTACCTATTATGTATATATCTTCAATATTAGGATTTATGATACCACATTACACTGCTGCAGCTTTAGGTAGGTATAATATATCTATACATGTGTTGTCTAGCTGACTTAACATGTAAACATGTACATGCCTACTCCTTGTTACATTGTGTAGTATCAGAGAACAAAGTCCTGACACATCCTTCAACTGTTGACTCCATTACTACATCAGGAGGGTCAGAGGACCATGTGTCAATGGGTACTTATGCTGCAAGGAAGGCACTGAATGTTGTTGAAAATGTGGAAAATGGTATATTATCACTAATTAATACTAAAAATATAATTATATTTTAGTTCTTGCTATTGAGTTGCTTGCTGCATGTCAGGCATTGGACTGTCACAGATCTTTACATACAACAGAAGATCTATCTCCAACTGACACACTATCTAAAGTTTATGATTTGGTTCGCAGTCATGTCAAGTGAGATGATAACTATGACATGTAGTAAATTGTACTTTGGTTTAGAGCACTGGGTAGAGACAGGTTTATGTCTCCTGATATTGTAGCAGTTGCTAGACTCCTCCAAGAAGGGCTGGTGAGCTACAATTTTTTTTCTCCCATTTTATAACGTATACTTCCTCTTTCCTTTTTATCAGGTTTGGAAGGTTGTGAAAGGTGAAATCTCCACGTTTCCTACTGGTTTGGTTAGCGAAACAAGGCAATACAATTAAAAAATTGCCAATGCTTTGACTTAATTTGTTACTAATAATTGCTAATTACAGACTGTAGTTGATTGAGTGTATTTAGATCAAAATTGTCATTAAACTTGTTAATGTCAATTCATTGCTAAATAATATATCATCAAAAATGTGTTAATGATAACCTACAGAAACAGGAATGAAAAACTAATACATAGAAAGTAGAGGTGAAAGTGCAGCAATAAATTAAATTTTAGTCAAAAAAATTTCATTAAACAAATCTCTATCAGTTGTGGAGTGATTACCACTATTATACCTATAGTAATACGCCAAATAAGTATTTTAATTTGCTAAGACAGTTTTATTACCAATTTACCAGCAATTTCTAATTGGTATGACTATTCACACAACAGAATTAAACTTAATTAATTGTCTTACACAAATCAAATTACTTGTGACACTGTTGTGTCAAATAAAGGCTGTTGACTATGTACAGGTGCACTGTAGTATGTTAATAAACATGAAAACATGTATTGCTGATGAGTAGTAGCCAGCCTGACTAGCCCACAGTAACAGTGACAGAAGTATCTTGATGAATGGACCAAATTCATACCAAGCCATTATGACATCTTAAATGTAACTATTATAGATCTTAAGTTTAATAATATGGTGAGCTACTATGCATTATCCAAATAAACACATATTGCTATAAGTGCTTTTGCTAAGACAGTTCTTTGCCAGCAATTTCTGATTGTATGACCATTCACACAATAGAACTGAATTCTAGTGCTCTTACACATATCAACTAGTGTCACACAAACCATATTGACAAGCTGTGCCATGTGTAGGTGTCACATTTCATAGTAGCATGACTATATAGGGTCATATGAACACCAAAAACATTGCTGACAAGTAGTAGGCTAGTAGCCCGCCTGACTAGACATATGTAAATAGTGCCATGTACAGGTATCACAATTCACAGTAACAATAACAGCAGTATCATGATGATTGCAATACATACCAGTTACTGTATACTCAAATTTTAAATATCTAACAGCCTTGTGATTACTAGTAGCATGAAAACATTCTAAAACTAGAGTAAAAGTGCATGCACAGTCTAGAAAGTGTGGTATGCACATGATGCACAATGACTACAAAATTAAAATGACATTTCATTGTACCTATATACATACATGTGCACACATAATCAATACAGTGATTAATTACTAGTTATTACTTTGAAGTTGTACATCTTCCAAACATTCTAGAATGCCATAGATATAATATGTGACCATAACTGACAAAAGGTACCTCATAGCGGATAGGAAAATTGGTCTTTATAGCCTAAAAAATCTAACTTCCTGAGCTCCATTTATCATAAAATTACTCCAGAGGATGATATTTTTCATTATAATGATGAATTAAAAAATCCGCAATAAGGCACCTTTTGTTAATTATGGTCACATATAGTGACAAGCCCAGCACCTTAAATTTCAAATGAAGTATCACTCGTAATAGGAATAAAGGCAATACAACAATTAAAAATTAATTATAAAATCTAATTAGCACAACATGAACACAATTACAAATTTTTGGCACTCAAATGATCTAATAATAAATCTACAAATATTAAAAGAATGACAATGACAGGTCAGTAGTCACTCAAATACATTACATTAGCAACATTACCATTTATGGTCATTAGGGTGTGTGTAGGCACTACTGTTTCCTGGAATAGCAGTCTTACTAATCTAAAGATAGGAATGACCATTTTGTTACTACTACAAGTTCATGGTACCTTTCAAAAATGCATTTTACATGAGCAAAACTTAGTATTGTACAGTATTTGTATTGATACAGAAACCTCTATACAAATTAATAATTGTGTTTTAATGACAAAAGTAACCTGATCAGAATCGTACAGGTCAAAAATTAGAGCATTCATGTATGTGTACTATAATACTAGCACAATTATAATTCTGAATGTAGCTATGCAACATTAAGTACATTATGTATTACAAAAGTATTTAAAAGGAGAATTTTCTCCTTTTCATTTTTGGCAAAACTTTAGCCCAAAACCATATATAGGGCTTTGACCAAAATTAATTTTAAACAACTTTTAAAATTAATGAAAAAAATTTAATTTGATCGGAATCAACTCCTTCCTCTTCTATTCCACCTCTATCACATGCATACCTGACCATACACTATACACAAATTACTGTATAGCGGAAAATTTTCGTGGCCCAAAATTTTTGTGGATTTTGTGTTTTTTCAAAATCCACGAAAATAAAATCCGTGAAAATTGATTCAGTACAGTTCAAGATGGCTGAAAAGTAAAAAATCACAAAAATTAAAGCCACGAAATTGATTTTGGAACGGATTCGCAAAATTTTTGGGCCACAAAAATTTTCCGCTATACGGTACACAGCTAAAACTTTCTAAGCAACACATAAGTACATGTTTACTCATGTACATATCAAAAAATGTAAAATTTTTTTAAATGAAGAATTCTCTCCTTTTCAATTAACAGTATAGTTGAGCCCAACACCTATGTACTATCATAGTACAGTAACTTTGGCCAGTATTTGGAGTAGTTTTAACAGTACAATTTTGATCAGGATCAGTTCAAACATTTCATGAAACATAAGTACATGTATATGCATCAGAAGACGTATAATAATTCTCTCCTTTAGTGTATAAAAATCCAATTTTGATCAGATTCAGCTCAAACTTTCTAACATAAGTACATTTATAATATGTATCAGATAAAATGAAAAAATGCTCCTTTATAATTTTGGCAAAATTTGCTCTGAGACCATATGTAATAATAGTAAGGTCAGGATTTTTGACCAGATTTTTGAGTAACTTCAAAAATTCATGCTTTAAAAATTCATAAAAACCCAGTTTTTATAACATAAGTGCTGCACGGATGTAATCAAAGGGCAGATGTGGCTATGATTATTGAGTGGCAAGAATGTATACATGCATAATGAATCATGGAGATACAGATTTGAGGAAATATCATACTTGGCTGCAGAAAAATTATTGTGGAGAGATTTTCATTTCATACCTTCAATTTCTACCCTTTTTAAAGGCTGAAATGTCAACTGCAAAATTTATTCAGATTTTTTCTCCATTCTCCTCTATTCCGCCATGCAGATCTACATTCTTGCCACCCAACATTGCATACAATCATAGCCGTACCCCCCATTGATTACATCCTTGCAACAGCTCTATATGCACCAAAAAATTATAAAAATTAGCAAACTTATAACTATTTTGATAAAGTACCCTGTGCAGGGTACTTTACTAAATTTTGAGCAATGTTTAAAACTTGTAGATCGCTGCAGTGAATTTGATTTACAGTCAGTGGATTATTACTGATACCTCATTCATGAAAAATATTGGTCTGTGTATCCACATGTACTTTTTTGAAGTGATTTGCATTGATCCCCAGTAGCTATTTGGATAGTACTTAAATTGATCCATTTTCTGTAATATGCATGAAGAGGTTAATAAAAATTAGTGACGTTGTTCATTATCATTATGTTGTATGCATAGATGTTAAGACATACCATAAATAAGAGGTCTAGGCCTAGAGGAGGTTAGTTATGATAATGCCACTTTCTCTACCTACTCGACATATTTCCTCACTTTTCTCTTTAGCAGACTGACAATACCTGCAATTGATCAGTGCATCCAGCTTGTACAGGTAATAACTTGTGATGGCTAAACCACACTTTCCTAGGAAAGACATAGATATTGCATCTTTTAAAAGTGCAGATCTTATTCTTGCTCTTTTGTTTGTTTGCAAAATGTAGTCAGACTCCTAGATATCTATAAGGCAAAGAAGTCTGAGACCAATTACAGCTAAAGAGTATTTACATGTATTAAAAAGAGAAAATGGTATCATGTTTATTAGTCTTTTAACCAGATGGACTAAAGTTTTTGTGCCCATCAGTTACAGGTATCATTTTATTAACAAGATAACTGCTGCTAATGTGAAAAGACAGTATTCTCCATTTTCATGAAGGTAGAGTAGGTAGAGAAAGTGACATCTCACATGACACCACCTCCGGCTCTCCTTCTCTAGCTATATATAGCTCTATTAGGTGGTGTGTCCGCAGTTTTCCAAATTTCAAATGCAAACCGATATGAATGACATACAATGCAGATGCAAATAAAAACACTGATATTGTGACAAACATAGTTTTTTACAACAATTTTCTGGGTAAATAAGTGGCCAACATAAAAGTGTAACAATGTGAGAGTAATCAAAACATTGATTTGAGGGTGGAGCTATCTATAGATAGTAAGGCCACTATGAATTGATTAATTGTTTCTCATCCCCGCCCGCTCCGTATTTTTGTTGCGCCCGTGCTTTAGTTATTCCGTAATTTTCCGTTTATTCTGGTATATGATCTAAGAAGCACATGGTTGTTTAGTGGTTGTCAATGTCTCCTGGTTTTGTGTTTCTGTTCACTCTTCTTCTTGCCGCAGTTGCCGGACCTCAATCTTTCCTTTTGCCACGTATTGCCAGTCAATCATCGGTAGCTGTAATGTATTTGAGCATCACCGTAGTGAATGAAGTAGTCATAGTTCCATGGACTATCATTCAAGTAAGGCTAATGTCCTTAATTGTTTATTATTATTATTATTATTATTATGTACATAAAATTATATTTTCTTTTTTGTTAGCAAGAAGATGATGTATCATTTGCTGCACTGTTTTTACGGATCCAAAGTGGTGCTATGAGTACTGTTGCCATAACAGAGCACCTGGCTAGTTCTTCACTACAAAAGGTACTTGTAGGGCTTTCACAGTCAAGAGATGCTCAATTTAATGTAGTAGAAGCTAGCCATTCAGTGAGAGGTGTTTGCTCCATATTTGGTTCATTTATTAAATTTATTGTAATATTGAAATCAAAAGACGAAGTTATGATTGTCGAACCGTCTAGTCAAACCCTGCAGCATCGATTTCCATCATCTGTTGTTGAAAAAACCCGGAAAGACAAGCTTTATAATAAGATAGTGAGTTTTTGTATTGCTGGCAATTACAGTTGGGAGGATCCTGCTACATATGGTAAACCATTTGTATCAGATTTATGCAACACGTTATGGTATATTGATGGCCACCATGATGTGTTTTCCAGCCGAAGCTGTCCAATTCCATCCTTTTTTTCGTCATTTACAGGTTTTAACAGACCTGAATTGAGTAAACACAGAAAGCGCTCAATTTCTAATATGTGCAGAGACAGGCTTCTCGAGTTGTCTTCAGTATTACAGGACCACGTCACTAGTAGCTGGATAGAAAAGAGCAATTGGACTACTTTCAAGCAGCCTTTGATACAACTGATTGAATCTCTTTCGTCTTATGCTTCTTATTTAAGTATTCGTAGTAAAGCTATGAAGTTGCATCACTCCTCCTCCTCTCCTTCAGTTAATTTTTCAGATGCATCTGCGGTAAAATATTTACCCAAGTCCTTGTCAATATCGTCACTTTTATCTCGGCTTGATTCAGCTGTATGTAATACTGATTATGTATCAAGCAATACATGTGAATGATTATTTGCCTAAAGAACCACGCCCAAAGTATCTTTGTATTCGAGAATTAGAGAAAGGTCTCTCGTGTCCTGTATTTTTTTTCACTTACACCCATGGATCAAATGTGGGTAACTATCATTTCATTTGGAAAGCTCCTGACCATGTGAGTGTTGAAGCTTGTACTACGGAGAATATGCGAGTTGTTGGTACCATTAAAAAAGAAATACCCACTTTTCACACACGTGCAATGAGACGACAGTTCTTTCATCTCGTTGGCCGTATTTCTCCAAAGAGCAAACCACATCTTCTGCGAGCCATGTATCAGTCGTTAACTGGAGATCAATCTGCAGCTCGAACTACTGCTGAACATGAAATAGATGAGCGTGTTTCTGAATTTTTGTCAATGGAGGACCCTGATGTGATTGTTGATTTACGTGAGTTAAATGCTAATGGTAGAGATTGTTTCAAAGTTTTTTGGGAAAAGTGTGCACTGTATTTGTCTGAGTGTACTTCAGTGCAAGAGCGAAGGCATGATTCTGTAGTCTATATGGCTAAGGCCATTTCAATTCGTGATTTAATTCAAGAAGTAACTAAGCTCTGCCCAGAGGGTACTTCAATACCTTCCATATCATGGGTACAGCTGAACTTTTGTCCTAGGAATCCACGTGCCTCTTCTTCAGCAAGATATACTAGTCGTTTGGAAGCAAAGCATGTTATACAGAAACGCCAGTTTCGTAAGTCACACCCAGATGCTCATTATTGTGCCTCCTTATTTCGCTATATGAGGGAATATGCTATTAAATATAGGGACATCTCTTGTTTTGTCTGCATTGATGATAAGCATAGTATCAAGGTAGGAGAGCCGGGATTTCCAATTGCTGCAGCTGAAAGAGGACGCCAAGTCATAGTTTCAAGTCATACTACTTTTGCTGTTGGAGATCATGACTTTGCTAAGTTTAAACTAACTCCAAGTGTTATTTTGCTAGTACATATTCCTGAATTTATTGATATGTCATTTTATACCGGAGAAGTATTCATTGGCTTTAAAGAAACAGTTTATGAACCCTCTTCACCAATACGGCATGCTACTGAGTTATATAATTGCCTTTTAACTCGAATGGAAGGTCGACATATCTTGTTTATCTATTCTGATGGAGGGCCAGACCATAGATTGACTTACTTAAGTGTCCAACTTTCTCTCATAGCTTTATTTTTGAATTTGGATTTAGATGTATTAATTGCAGGACGGACAGCACCCTCACATTCATGGGCTAACCCAGTGGAGCGAATCATGTCAATTGTCAATCTTGGCATACAATGCATTGGAATAATGAGAAGTCCTGGAAGTAATGAGTTTGAAAATTGTGTTACAAAATGTAACAGCCTCAAAGATCTTAGAGAAGCCTGCACGTCTTTTAAAGAGGACATTACTAATTCACTTAAAGAACCAAAGGATCTACTATCTAGCATTATGGTTCGTTTGGAATTGAAAGGAGAGAAGTTTCGTGTATTTGAGAGTGCTACAGAGCAAGAAATTGAAGATTTCTGGGAAATTCTGCTCACTATAGATTCATCATTGACAAGAGAAGACACAACTCAGAAGTCATTGGAGAAACTTCAGTCATTATCTCAGTTTATTTTACATTGTTGTACCTTTCACAAGTATTCTTTGACGATTCGGAAATGTGGAGAGGAAGGTTGTACTGTATGTCGTCCTGTCAAAATGTCGTCTCAAGTTTTTTCTGGTGAGTAATTACTTATTGTTGTAATATGCGATATGCAGATACTTAATTTGTACCACATTCACTGTGTTTTTTAATGAAACACTCATTTCCTTCTCTAAGTAATATTTACAACAGCATTGTCAAGGTATTCACCTTATACAAATAATTTTTTTGAATTTCTCCCAATGCTTAAATCATTGCATATATGTTATTCATGAAGCACCCTTGTCGTCATTTTATAAATTTAAATTTATGAACCACACCCACTTAATTAACTAGAAATATTAACATTAAATAACACATGTATAACTTGATGATTTTTTATGTTCAAAATGTGAAATCTGATTTTTATGAGATACTTAAATCTAAGTGTATTTTATCAATAGTAGTCCATATTAATATTAGCTAATTTTAAATAATTAACTACATGTATGTGTAAAATTTGTTTTTGCTGGACATTAATGAACATGGTTTTAAAACCTTTGATTATTTTTCTTTAATTTTCCATTGTGTCTGTTTATTGGTACATAACATAGCATGAAATTTTGCAGCTTGATATACTTGCAATATTAAGTTAAAAGTATCATAGCATGCATATATTAATGGTTGTAATATTTGCTGTAGGTATTCATGATTTACCTAGTCCAATTTATAATGATGATGGACATTATGCTGATTTTTATGATGTTTATGGTCAATCGCCTACAGAAGACCTCATTCCTAGTAATATGCAGCAGAAGAATAAGAAGACTCTACCATTTAATGCTACACAGCAGCATGTAAGGAACGTTAATCTTCTCATACAATGTGAAGAGTGCAAAATGTGGAGGCTTTTATTCTCGAAGAAGAAGCTGAGTAAGAACTTGGTAGTAGAATTGGAAGGAATTTTGGAAGATTTGTCATATACATGTGGAGCTAATTTTGATGATTTAGAATTGCCTGAATCCTTAAAGTCTGTTTGCATTAGGCTACATTCTTGTTTTGACCCAATAGAAAAGTTGTATTATAGTAGTGGTTTTGAACCTATCTGTTTCTATTGTGCAGGATCAGTTAATGAGAGTTCTGAAGATGAGGAGTCTTTATACTATCCTCAGTGTGGCCAGTGTCTTGCACGCCCAAGAGTCAAGAAGATTAATAGAGCAAAGAAATAACATTTTGGTTCTTAATGAAAAATAATGAATTTTGTTATAATAATTATTAATAATTAATAACTATAACTAACCGCCCGCCCGCCCGCATTCTATTATGGATGAGAAACAATGAATTTAATCACTGTGGCCTAAAATTCTTTTAGTGTCTCCTTCTTTACTCCTAAAGAGTGAAGAGATGATTCAGTGTTGTGACTAGACTCTCCAATCCTGCTCTCCTTACCTGTCTTTTTGCTGGCTGTTACTTGTTTTTCAGCCAGCCACTAAATCTGGTTAGTTAAAAGATTGACCAGTGGTTTTGTCTGTGTTACTTTTTGTCTAGCTACGAGTCGAGAGGAAGAGTTTTGGTGACCCGTGGCCCACCGGGACTACAGGGCCGCATTGACTGAGACTCAACCGAGCCAAAACAACACAAAGTAGCCTCTTCCCCTATACAACTCTGTTGCTATGCCTCCTAAGAAGCCCCCCAAAAAGAAAAGCAAGTCGTATACCTGTCCCATTTGTGATGACCAGATTGACGACTCAACTCAACAGTCAATTTGGTGTGATGGTGAGTGTAACACCTGGCTCCACAGGGGTTGTGCTGGTTTGTCTAAAGCCGCACACTCAAAGCTGAACGGCACTGACATTCCTTTCTACTGTCCTCACTGCCGACTCATGAGGCAAGACCGCGAAATAGAGTCTCTGAAAGCCTCTTTATCAGATTTATCTAAGAGGTTTGACGACCTAACAAGCAAGAGTCCTGGGGTTTCTACTCCACCTGATGCCACGTCAGTTCCTTCTCAGCCCACTCGTGTTGTGAAGAACCATTCCAAACCAAACTCTATGGAGAATAGAAAGTTCAATCTAGTTCTTTCTGGTATTCCAGAAGCCCCCAGTAGCCAGTCTCGCTCTGTACGAGCTCATGCTATGTTTGAAAAGGTCTCTGAGGTGTTCTCTGAGGTTCTAGGAGACACAAATGGTCCCCTGCCTCACATACGTGATTGCCGTCGACTAGGGAAGTTTCAAAGTCCTTCAGACGGTTTCCGCCCCCGCTCAATTCTGGTCACTCTGGACTCGGTACTCACTGTGGACAGGATCTTATCTAAAGTTTCTTCTGCTAGCCATGGAGCTGTAAAAATCAGGAGGGACCTACCCTTTGAAGACAGGTTAGCACACTCAGTGCTAATGAAAGAGAGGTGGTCTATGATCCAGGCTGGTACGGATAGGTCTGTTATTAAACTAAGGAAACGCAGTCTCTTAGTGGACGGCCAAGTACATGGTTCGGTAATAAATGGTTCCTTCGTTCTAGCTGCTCAAAACTCCTCACCAGACCTTACTTCACCAGCCCAAACACCTTCTACAACTCCTGTGTCGGCCGTGGATCTCCAACTACCCACAAATGACACTACTAACTCCTCACACCCCCCTGTCTCGACTGCCTCCTGACTACATGGTCTTGAGGTACTTTTATGGAACGCTAGAAGTATTGTAAACAAATTGGGACCATTCCAATCCTACATTTACTCCAAAGAGTTTCACATCATTGCTCTCACTGAAACCTGGTGCCATCCTAATGTTTCTGACAAAGAAATCCTCCCTGTCAACTACACTGTTTATAGAAATGACCGGGATTCAAGAGGTGGAGGTGTCTTGCTAGCTATCTCTGACAGTATCTGCTCTAAACAGATTGAGTCCCCTCATTCTGAGTGTCTCATTGTTAAAGTCTACACTTACCAGCCTTTTATTCTCTGCCTTGTATATGCCCCTCCTACCTCTGACTCCACCTACTTCTCAAGTCTTCTGGACTATATTGCTCCATTTGCTACTTTGTCAGACACAGTCATCTTAGGAGACTTTAACTGCCCAGATATCAATTGGGCATCTCTAACTGCTACAAACAGCTCCTCCCAATTATTGTGTGACTTTGTGTTTCAGTACGACTTGTGTCAGATTGTTGAGCAACCTACCCACTGTAAGGGTAACATTTTAGATCTTATTATGGTCCACTCTTTCGATTGTGTCCTAAATCTAGCTGTACACTCCAACAGATCCCTTCTCCCTTTCTCCTCTGACCACTACCCTTTAACTACTACATTAAATCTTAGCTCTCAGGTGACAAATCAAGCCACTCCCAGACATTTTTTATTCCACAAAGGTGATTACTGTGGTCTCCAAAATTATCTAATGGATGTTGATTTATCATTCTTTTTTGACTCTGTCAATATTGACTTCTTATGGGACAGTTTTAAGAGATTGATTCATGATGCCTGCCATCTGTATATCCCACTAGCTTCCCGGACTACTCGTTACCCCCAGTGGTATAACGGTAACACGAGGCACAGGCTAAATATAGCTCGTTCTCTACGAAAAAGGGTTAAAAAGAATCCTTCGGTTACTAACAAAGCTCAGCTGAACCAACATGAAGCAGCACTACAAGCAGATATTCTCACAACTAAGCAAAACTTTGAGTCAGACTTAGTACAAGAGTGTGCTAAGGGTAATAGCTCTAGACTGTTTCAATATATGAAAAGCACTCTCAAAGAGAAGTCAGTTCCTGACTTTGTTTCTTCAGGTGACTCCTCTGTAAGCTCTGATCTTGGTAAGGCTACACTATTTAACCAGTTCTTCCATTCTGTGTTCTCCGATTCACTCCCCCCTCCTACTACCTCCACTCTTTCTCCTCCTGCTTACACGTTGCCTGACTTTGATATCACTGTAGGCGACGTGTTTAAAGGGCTGTCAAGTCTCAACATCAGAAAGGCTTCTGGCATTGACAATATTCCATCTATTGTTTTAAAGTCTTGTGCAACTGCACTCTGTGAGCCCCTACATCATCTATTTGTTCAATGCCTTTCTCAGGCCTATATCCCCCAGGAGTGGAAAATCCATCGTATCACTCCCATCTTTAAATCAGGAGACAGAACTCTGGTGAAAAACTACCGACCGATTTCCTTGCTCTGTATTGTCTCCAAGATTCTAGAGAGGATTGTCTTTGATAAAATGTATGACCATGTTACATCTCTTACTATCTGCTCTAGGCAATTTGGATTCCTACGAGGTCGGTCAACACTCCAGCAACTGTTGGTACATTTACACTCCATAGTCAATTCACTCTCTAGTGGTCTTCAATCTGATGTCATCTACCTTGACATTAAGAAAGCTTTTGACTCTGTGTCCCATGACATCCTCCTTACTAAGCTATGGTCTGCTGGCCTGTGTGGTTTAAACTGGCAATTCTTTGTGGCCTACCCATATGGTCGTTTACAGTGTGTTAGTGTTGGTAACAGAGTTTCCAGCTTACTACCAGTTACCTCTGGGGTTCCCCAGGGAAGCATCCTCGGCCCTCTCTTGTTCATCCTTTACATTAATGACCTACCTATGAGTCCTCTACACTCCTCCC